TCTCTTGTGCTTACCCACATGTTTGGGCCTAAGAAATGGGCTTGAGTCTCGAGGCTCCCAAGCAACCCGAGACTTTCCATTTCTCGGTCCATCAATGGGTCTCATGTTGATTTATTACCATCCATGCCACAACCCACTCAAGCAAGCCCCGGGTTTTTTGAGTGGCTTGGGCCCACCTAGGCTTGTAGCGTGGTTGGATGCGAGATAACGGCATGGCATGTTGCTTGGCATATTTTAATTTATCGCCCTTGGGAAGAATTGTTTTAATCTTAGCATGAGTTAATCATATATATTCTTTTTTTATCGCGAATCATAGCATGATAATTTGTTTATTTAGCACGGCATGTGGATTATAACTTGCATGCGGTAGACCATTTTTCCTTTCTTTTTCCTTATGGAATATTGTATCGGGCTGATAATTGCTTGGGCCCAATCCATGGATTTTTTGGGCCTCAACAAGTCCCAACCACACTATTCATTAAGTTGTTGTACCCACTCTACAGGTTCTGCACCAATTCAACACTCCTTCCATCAATTCTTGCATTTCACCTTATGAGCTCCACTCTTACAACAATTAATGTCGATCTAGTTACCACTATACCCCATTATACAAGCTTGAGGGATAAGGAGCATTTTCTAAAATGTTTATAAATCATACAACTTGGGGCGGAGGTGTGCATAGGCCTGCAAGGGCCTCGGCCCTCCCAAAATTCTGAAATAGTATATATATTGCCTCTACATTGTACAACTTAGGACAATATATATATGAAATTAATGCTTGTGGCCCCCCACAATAAAGAGAAAGAAGGATTTACATTTTCCCCTCCAACTAAAAGACTCTTTCCTTAGCAATATGGCAAAGTTACTCCTAGATTCTACCAACATAATTAATAAAAATTAAAAGAAACAACCAATTAAATCTTTCTTTCACAAGTATATTTAAGAAAATAGGAAATTAAGGATAATTGGTTATTTATTTATTTACAAGCTTAACACTGGGAAAGAAATCAACCTTAAATCCTAATATATTGACCCCTCCACACATAAAATCCTGGCTCCGCCACTTACAAGTTTGGATATTGCTTACATTTGACAAACTTGTTCTGGTGATATTACAACTTTCGTTTATTAGAGCATTGTGCTAATTAATTAAGCACAGTAATTGTAGAAGCACCAGACAGAGCAGCCACCGTTTTATTCAGAGTTTGAAACCCGTACACGATCCAAGATGGATTTGCCATCAAGCAGGCTGCTTTGTTGAAGCTCCAAGTAATCTTTATACTTCATCCCAATATATGCTGGCTTACTGTTTTCATTGTTTATGAGCTCGGGTGCAGGCGTAACTACTGTTTCAAGAGATGGACCAGTTGGAGTGGCAAGGGATATTCTTGTCGCTTTGTTGGTCAGCACTGCTCGATGAATATTGCTCCTGTACTTCCCATTGCTAAAAATCTAGCATATGTAGGAAAAAAGTGAGCTGTAATTGTGGAGGTTAGGTTACTTAAAAAATGAAACAATTTAGATCATGAGATGACATTGTGAAGTGTTCTCAAACGACTTGCTAGTACGATTTTACTTACTAAAACGACTAAAATGACTTGTTAGTACCATAAAAATTATAAAATTTTCAATTTGGAGTGCGCGTGGAGATTAGCGGAGTGCCAATTACCCACATTTAAAAAATTTGTAATATAATATGTTGTGTTTTTCTTAATTTTCTACAAAAACTAGAATACATTAGATTGAATGTATTTGAAGTAACTAGATCCAGTACATTTGAAACAATTACGACTCATTCATTTCCTTCGTTTCATTCAAATCTTGCCATATGCAAATTGTGATTGTCCCAAAACCCGTTTAACCTTATATTGTCATCAAAGGCCCTAAATTTGGAACAACAAATGTAACAAATGTTTAGTCAAAGAAATGAAGAATTTGTGCGAGAAACCATACCTCCAGGTGATCACCAGTGTTAACAAGGAAGGAGTTGGGCATGGCATTGACATTGACCCATTTACCCTTGTGTTGCACTTGAAGGCCATTAATGCCATTTTGTATAAGGAGGGTCAAGAGGCCATGATCAGAATGAGGTGGCATTCCCAAGGCAAGCTCTGGCTGTGGACATGGGGGATAAATGTTTGCAATGAAGATCTGCAAGCCTGACTCAACATTCAAGAACTTCTCTAAGTCGTCGGCTTCCAATCCCAAGCTCTCTGATATTCCTTTCAGGAGTTCTCTTGTCACTTGTCGCGTTCTTTTGCAATACTCTAATGCAAGCTCACTAAAGCAAACAAAAGGTAAACCCGTTTCACTAAATTCATCATCACAGGTCTTTCTTTTAAATATTTAATGATTAGTGTACGAGCAGTGCTACGAGAATTATTTTTATGGTATCTTTACTTGAATCATAATATGTAAGGGAAGTCATGAATCATAATATTTCACATTTCTTTTCATACATATTTCAGGTAAGCAAACATGTCAGAAATGTATAATCACGTTCGTGGTACATCGACCGGGGATAATTCAGGCTTATTTGCCTACGAGGATGGCTGCTAGAATTTTTGTTTTAAAGGGTGGTACTTAATCGCACTCCTTCAGAGGTTTTTGAAGTGGTTTTTCGACTTTGTTTTGGATTATTGCTTCTCACACATCATGTGTTCAGCCTAGCGTGCAGTATCTTTCCTATATCTTCTGTGTCTTTAATTAAAAAATTAGATAAAAAAATAAAAACGAAAACATGTTACGAAACTTGTCCTAACAAATTATGAATTTTCAAGGGTTTCGAATCCATTCAATTATAGGATATATTTTTGTTTACCATTTTAACTCAAGATGTATGCTTACCACCCTTTTTGATATTTGACACATGTTCATAGCTCTAATTATAGTTAACTTTTTACTCTGATTTATATAACCATGGTTATGCATACACCTTGAGTTAAAGTGAACAAAAATACTCCCTTCAATTATAAGGTAAAGCAAGTGATTTTTGTCCCTGATTTAACTCATAAAAATAAATTCCAATATTTTAGGTTCGATTCCCCTCTTTAAACATCGCTGTATAAAAAAAACAAAACATTGTACCTGAAGCCAGCAGGTTTAGTGGGGAAGTGGAACTCAGGATATACAAAAACCTTGAGAAAATCCCTCCAAAACATCACCTTCTCCACCGAGGCATTGAAGCTGGTCCCACACCTGATTGGATCCAGTACATGCTTCCCCTCAAACTCGTGCTTCTCCTCCTCCGTCAGATCAAAAAACCCTTGGGAACCATCCAAGATCGCCTTCATCAGACTCTCTGGCACACCATGATTGATCACCTATGTCATTGACACGTGGAAAAAAGAAATTAAAATTAAATTAAACAATTTAATTCCCATCTGTAATTAAAATAGTACCAGGAAGAAGCCCCAGTCCTGGCAGGCTTTGCCAAGGTCATGGATGGCTTGGGAGCGCTGTTGGGCAGTGCCAGATGTGAGGAGAGAAAAGTCAACGGTGGGGATCGTTGACTCTGTATCTATCAAAGCTGCCAGATCATCATGGGGATTGTTTGTGTAGGTATGAGTGGGAGGGATGAAGGTGATGCCTGGTGATTCTGCAAGCTTTTTGATGCTGGTCATCAGTTTGGCTGGCTGATCATGGGGAACTTGTGAAGAGTAGTGGATATTGAACGTTGGATCTGTTGCAGCCATGGAGAGAGCTAGAGAGACAGAGAGAGAGAGAGAGAGGGAGGGAGGGAGAGATCAGAGAGAGAGAGAGAGATATAGAGAGAGAGGGAGAGATCACAGAGAGAGAGAGGGAGAGAGAGATGATATCTCGGCAATTTGGGATGGAGGTGAGGTGAGAGTCCAATAATGTAGATAATAGATAATTGTCGTAACGCACATTTTTGGACCAACACTTTAGGACACAGTCTTTGAGTGGTTCACTCCCATAAAAGAAATAAAAAAAATACAGGGTCTTTGAGTGATTTACTCAGCCTTTTAATATGCATTTTATTATGGATTTTTTTTTGTTTTTTGTACATGTGGGGAACTTTTTTAGCCAAAGAAAAAAGGGGAAAGCGGGTACCTCATTTTACAGAGCAGAATTCTGTAATGAAGGTACTATCTAAGGCCTTTATTAGAGCACCTTCACCCTAAGGCTTTGTTTGGTTCATGGGAAAGGAGGCTTGGGAATTCAATTGTTTTTCTATGTTTGGTAAGTCCAGATATGAGAAATGGTTACCTAGCACATGAGAAAGTATGGGGGAAAGTGAAGCCCTCCTCTTAAATTGGGTTTTATTTTCCCTACTCATGGGAAAGTTTGGGAAAATGAGCCAACATTCAATGCACAATTTTCATGACTATTTTGTTTCTATGAACAATTTATAATGACAACGTATCATTAAATGCATTATTTTTTTATTTGATTTAATATGAGTATAATTGGAAAATTATACAAACTTTGTTTTCATTCCTACTCAAAACAAACATGGGAAAGGAAACAAAGTGAAATCTCTCGGTTACTTTCCTGACATTACCAAACGTGAGAAATGAATATTTCATTCCCATTTTTTGGGAAATGACATGGGAAATGATTTCCCCTCAAATCCATTACGCGAACCAAACGAGGCCTAAAGGGTAAGGGCAAGGTAATGGCAAGACAAAGGCAATGCAAGGTTTGTCACTATTCACATGAATAGTGGCAGCCCTTCCTTTTTTTATTTCTACCCCAAAGGGCAAAGACAATTACTATTCAAATGAGATATGAGAAGATGAATTTGTATAGAGTTTTTGGTGTGGGAAGTAAAGAATATAGCTAGGTATTTATAAAATTTAAAAAAAAAAATCTGGAATTTTTGGACTTAGCATTGTGTCATTTTGCCCAGGCAGCAGCTCAGGTTGAATTTACCCGTGGGCTTGCCTGGGCTCGTGGGACCCAACCCTTGCCCAGGCTAGACTTGGCGCGCTAGTGTTTGGGCCAAAAATTGGCGCACCCAGCCCAACACTAAAGAGTCCTGAATAACAAAAGCCACAAGACCCACATCCAGACTTTGCAAATAGGAATCAAAGGCCCAAAATCTAAGAGGACCCAGCTCGGAATCTATCAAAACATAACAAAACTTTGGCATTGGAAAAAACAAAAAGAGAGAAATCAGCCCATAAACTCCAGAAATTCATACTGGGCCTGGCAAGATTAAAAGCCCAAAACCAAATCGAGGGGCCCATGATTTTTACAAAATGATAAATCAACCACTAAAGCTGGTCAAAAAGAAAAGCAAAAAAATCCTTTTGGAAAGCCTATTTTCAGGAATCATGTGGCTACCTGACTTAGAAGTCAATAATTCCAACTATCATAGAAGAAGTGATTGGGAATTAAATGAAAGCAGATAATTAAGCAAAAAGACTTCTCTGAATCTCTGCCATCAGAAAATCGAATCCATTATATATATATATATATATATATATATATATAGAAATAATATTTCTACTCCAGAGAAGGCACCATCTTTTCAAAAGATAAGCAGGCTATGTTCTCAAAAAGAGATAGGCAAGAAGACAGGGAGTTGTTCAAAATAAAAGAAATCAAACTAACCATCACGGTTTGAGCTCTCATGAGGGGCAGTTGGAATTAAACAAATGGTCAGGTTCTCTTTCAAAAATATAAGGAAGTAACTACCGTATGAACTGACTGTTGAGAGCTTATCTGCCAGAATTGATAAAACCCCTCTTTCTTTGCATTTAAAAAATGAAAGATCTTTTGAGAATTTTTTCCGCCTATTATTAAAAGAAAGAAATCCTACTCCTAAGCATTTCTTATAAATATAAGAGGGAGTGAACATGGCGAAGGGACCAATGGATCAATCAAACAAACAACCAAAAATCAACCAAAAGCTCACTTGAGCCACAAGAGAAACCAGCTTTAGATTAAAACTCCCAAAGTTCAGACTTAGAGAAATAAGTCATTCAAAA